TGCTGCTGGAACATATGCAGTTTGAGTTATTTATTTTGTGCTGGGGATTGAATTCAGGATCTCATATATATTAAGTGTATGCTACAACTCAGCCCACTTTGGGTTAATTTTGTGCTTAGTATAGCCTGCTGAAGGAGATAAAACTATTTTTCTCAGAATCATTTCAATACTTATGATAAAAAAATTAAAAGTTTGTTCAGAAGATAAAAATGAAGAGGGGAATAAGTCATGATAAGAGGACAGAGAACTGAAACTCTTCACAGTAGTACAGAAAGGTGACAAGGTTAGAATGAAAGCCATCTTGCAGTGTTAGTTTACTTAAGAGAGAAAACATAGTCTTGAGGGCTTCTGTTCATTTATAGCTTGACAAATGACAGAACAAATAATATGATAACAAGAACTTAAATCCACAGTAATTTGAGGCCTTGAAATTGTGTACTTGGCACTCTTGTTAAATTATAGGTGGAGAAATGAAGGTTATCATACCCCCCTACCATCACCAGGGTCTTGCATGGACAATATAATTGGAATATTTCAAATACTTCTTAATTATAATTAAGGTTTAGGTTGAGAAGCAAAGATCCTGGTAATCTCATGGAATAGTCAGTTCTGTTTTAATGTGTGTTTTGAAAACCTAAGTTTATTCCAATATAAAGCAATAATTTGCACATAATGGGAATGTTGTACTTACCTATGATTTCATCTGAAAGGAACACTAGATGAGTGTGGGAATGCACACAGGGGACAGGTGTGCACAAACCTCAAGCACATACCAGCTATGTTGGCTCACATCTGTGTTATGGGCTGTACTATCTGCAAGGGCTGTTACGTTTCCCATCCAATGTCAATAATCCTGCCTGTCATTTGATAATAACTCTGAAGCTACAACTCTGCCAATGTCCACTTCCACAAGCTAATTGCAGGTCTTTTTCAAGATAAAGTATCATATTTATGTACACCTAGCCATAGAAGCTATGTGAGACTGTTGCCATTTTATTAGGTTTCCTTTCACTTATTTGTCTTTAATGTATTACTGATGAAGTTTTTGAATATTGACACCTTAAAATAAAATCAAATGTATTGAGTGTCAATAAGAATTTCAAATTTTTAATAATCATAGTCAGCAATATTTATAGAATGGGCACTGTGTTCCAGATATTCTAGATATCTGATTTAACACTAGCTATTTGATTTAACATAATCCTAAAATGACCCTATGGGGGAATTCTCCTCATTTTATCATAAAGGCAACTGTGATTTAGAAGGGTTAAATTTTTTTCTCAATCACAAAGCTAATAACCAGTTGGAATTCAAAATACAGCTGTCTTTGAATGCAGATCCCACTTCAGACTGGAAGCCAAACTGACCAGCTTGGCCAGGCTCCCCTGCCTCTCCCAGAGACACTGGAGCCTTGGAACTGGACAGCCTTGCAATCAAATCCAGCTTCTACCATTAACTAAAGGTGAAGAAGTTACTTACACTTTCTAAATTTTAGTTTCCTAATCTGAAAAAAATAAGTTGACAATTGCAATCAATAGTTAACATTCACTGAGCACTCACTGTTACCCTCAACAAGTTCTATGAGACGAGACGATATCATCCCTTCCTCCAAATGACAAAATGTGGAAAAAAGTAAAGAAGTATGATTAATATTGGACAGCTTGCAAGGAAGGCGTTAACCCTTAGCAAATTCCAGACACTCATCTTGTTAACCACAATTTGCCGCAACACAACCTTCCTCCTGTTTGTCTTGGAGGATTGAGAAAGATACTATATATAAATTTCTTAGCACTATGCCCAGACTATGATATAAACTTAATGAGTGAAGTTTGTTATTATTATTACCATTGGAACTTAGCCAAGAACATAAATAATCATAATACATGGCAGAATATATACATATAATATCTGATGGGTACCAAAAAAAATTAAGATGCTAAGGGAGTTAAAGGGCAGAGAAATGACATTTGTAAATTAACAATTCTTCAAGGAGGAGATAGCACTTGAAACACCTCCTATAGGATCTTAGCAGATAGAGATGAGAGGATAATACATGCAGAGAGACCAGTGGAGACCCTAATACAGAGAAGGAATTGTGGCATCTATTCAGGAGCATAAAGCGTCTATGGGCTTCCCCTGGTGCTAGGCATCTAGAGTGGAGGGGGAGAGACAAGAGGCTGCCCACCCAAGCCTTCCTGGGGCAGGCTGCTCACTGCTAGGGTAGGAGTCCTTGCTAAGCATGGTACACAATGGGGAGGTAACCTGAGCAGGGCTGTGTGCCCAGAAAAATCTGGCAAAAATTGTAGCAGAGAGTGGCTGAGGGTGTGGGCAGCATCTGAGTCATCAGATGCCACCCTGCCAGCTTTCAGGTGAGTGTGGGTTCTCCTCAAGAGCACATTCCAGGGTAACTCTTTGATCTGAGATTCCTTTATAGCTTATGAGATTTGCAGTACAACAGGGCCCTCTACAGCCATCATCCTGATTAGACTCAGAGGAATTTAGATGAGGAAAGATCTTCAAATTAATCCCAAGAGCCAAGTTTGCAGATTTAAAAGCCCATGAGAACTTAACTTGGCAGCCTAACAACTGAAACTGGTTGGTGTTGAGGACACCCCCCTGACCAAAGCTATGTGGGAAGATAAGGCCAATGTTCATATGATCTGCATCTCAAAGGAAACTAGATATTTATAGTAAGGTATCTTGGTTTCCAAATGTGGGTTTGATTTGAAACAAACACCATGAAAGTCAAAGGAAATAATACATGTGTGGACTGGATTTGGCTTCTAGGCATTACATTTTCACCATACACCTTCCAACCAGGAAGGGAATGTAAAGGTCATTTTTAGACTCTATATTCTCCACTTAAACAAGAATATCATATCCAGAAGGCTCCAGCAAGGTTAAATAGACAGCTACTTTAGAACACAGGTCATTAATCCATAGCACAGATTTTTCCTATTGTTTCCAAGTTTGGCCCTAACCCAGACAGACTACCATCATTTACTGCTAGCGCATATGGGGTTAGGGTTAGGATTGAGGGTGATGTGGGGCAAAGAGGGTATTTACTAAGATTTTAATGTAGATGGAAAAACCCTCTGCACTTGGATACCTCACTTTACATCCCTTAACCAACCTATTAGATGTGTCCAATTTAAGGTAGCACAGTGACAGAGAACCCATGTCTACAGACTGGGTAGGATATTCTCCAGCAACCTGCCCACTCTTTTAATCCTGAGGATAACCTAGGGTTTATTTACAGTCTACAGTCTCTTCTCAGTCTGTGTTCTCACATGCCACCAGGCACTTGACACTGTTCTGGCCCCACCCTAAGGATGGTATGCATATTGTAATCTGAGGATGACAGCAGGGAATTTTTGTAATTGATCTGTGACAAGGTGAATATATATATATATATATATATATATATATATATGTGTGTGTGTGTGTGTGTGTGTGTGTGTGTGTGTATAAAACAAAAAAGAACTATTTTTCTTTGCATACAAATCACTTGGTTACATCTCCAAGTTCACCAAGATTTAGTACCCAATGTAAATATTTCCCATAAAATGTTGGGAAAGATTATCATCTAGAACTTAGATGAGGGACTTCAGCATTGATTGACTGTAACTCCTTCAGGACACGGCTTTTCCACTTTAAAGCTATGTGACCTTAAACAAGTGAACTGCCTTCTTGAAACCACAGATGTGGGTTAATCAAAATAATGCAAATACTTTCAAACAGTGCAAGTTTTCACAAATGGTAGCTCTCAAACTATTTCTTTAACTTGATTTTCAAGGAACTTAATATTGAATTAGTATTTTTGTTGCAATTCAAAAAAAAAAAATCTAGAGATGCCATTCTTTCCAGAAAGATGTGAGACCTAATTATTATCCTCTTAAAGATCAAAAGTACTAATTTGATAGCTTCTTGTCATTTGTTTTAACCAAATTAAATCTAGGAAATCTATGCTCCAATAACTGAGACATAAAAATGACAAAGAAAGTACTGGCACCCCACCACCTGCCTCCCCCAAAAAAGACAAAGAAAGAACATGAGGGTTTTAAATAAGGCCTGACTAACAAATCCAATTCTTATTATCATATAATCATTCACCTAATCTTTATGAGATGTTTTATTGGAAGCTGTGTTTCCTGTAATCTAGAACACTCATCATGTTCAGTTTTGGCAGAGGAGTGAAGTAAAATGATGGGACATGCTTTTGTACATGGACATTCTCAAGAATTAGCCTTGGAATTCTCAGATTAACTGTTCAAGCTCTTGAGCTCTGGGCTGGGCATTGACTGACTGAATTTTTTTTTTCTGGGATAGAAGGTTTTATTTTCTCTGTTATTTTGCAATGAGAATTTCCTTCTTTTTAAATTATTAGTTGTTCAAAACATTACAAAGCTCTTGACATATCATATTTCATACATTTGATTCAAGCGGATTATGAACACCCATTTTTTACCCCGTACACAGATTGCAGAAAAATTCAGAATTGCCTGAATTTTTATTAACAAATTTCCTAGAGAATTTGGAAGATATGCTTCTGAATGTGCTACTGAATTGGTCTGCACCAAAGTTTGGACAGAAATGTGGACTCACCCAGATCACCAGTGCCAGACAATGACAAATTCAATTTCAACACTTCCAGTTCATCTTGGCAGATGCTCACATCTGATGTCATGCAGTCATGATGTAAGCCAGAAAGAGTGGTATTTTGCAACAGAGATTTTGGTAACCCTTCCCATGAGTGTGGGTTGAAGAATATCAATATTTATATCACACACAGAAAGCATGTTACGTTTTGTAATGCATCGAAGTTAGATGGCTTACTCATAGTCTTCTGGGTATATGAATTGTTCTTATGTTCGATTTCAAAAGCTCAAATTGCTGAAGTTTGTCTTATTATTTTCTTAAGACTTTTTTTCAGTTAAATATAATGAATGAAAATCTTATTGACGTCACCAAAATGGATATGTGAAAACTAAAGGATTAGATTTGCATTTTGAAAGACGAGCTATGTTATAATTTCACCCTCTTCAAACTTTATAAAAACATGATTGTACAAAAAAGCTAATTTGGGGAGAGAGGATACAATGACAAGCAATTTTAATTCTTTTAATTGGAGATTTACTGGCTCAGAGAGGAGATTTTGTAATGTTTGCCCCCATCCCATCAAAGTGCTAAATAATGATGTACTTCTCAATACTGATGAGCTAAGAAAGTGTTCTCAAAGAATTGAAGGATAGACATAAGGAAGAGACAAAAGGGGGACTGAAAGAAGCAGATGAACCCCTTGGCCAGGTTGATTTAGTGAAAGATGCCAGCAGCATGCTGTCATTTCTTTCCTAAGTCATCCACCCAACTTAATGATCCCTGATTGATGGCTGCAAGTGGAGTTCAAATGCAAGTTCATGGGTAGGCACTTTTCAGGGTCTTACTGCATACAGGAGAAAAAAATGTACAAGATGAAACAATTGACAGATCATCTTGTATTTATGCATTCCGCCCCCCCCCCACACAAGGTACAAGTCCTTTATGTATGTAAATGTTGCCAGGTGGGGCTCCAGCTCTATGGGAATGCCAGAGATTCCTTCCTGCAAAATTAACTCTGGGAGTTACGGGATCACAAGATTATTTCATAGGACAGACCACAAACAGATGGCTTCATAAACCATATTGTAAATTTCTGTACAGTCTCACTGGGTAGATTTTATATTGTTAATGAATACTTTTCCATAGGTGAAAGAAGGAATCTGTATTAGCATTTGTTTGGATTAACATTTTGGATTAGCAGTGCTGAAAATTTTAACTGCTGTGACGTTGTTCTAATTTCAATGTAATAAGTTTAAAACTGGCAGGCATTTACAGACTGCCAATATTTGTAAGCATTTAGGTTACCATTTCTGTAGTCACTATCATTGCTTCCTCTTTCCTTTCATTAAGAGGCAGTCCTTAATTACTTAAAGACACGCCTTCCTGGACTCTCCCTGGTATTTTTACATCTTTTTGAAATGCTCAGGAAGAGCACAGCTTTCTAGGTGCGGTGCTGGAGTCATGGGTGGAACCTTGGCTCCCCACCCCTTGGGGTGATGTAATCTTTGCATGCTGTGTGAAGACAGGCAGAAAGTGCTGACCTGTGATTCATCTGTGTTAAATTCCTTCTGAAGGAAAACCAAAGCAAGTGAAATTCCTTCTCTTCAAAGGAAAGCGAAATGGGAAGTTAGGAGCGAATAAAAATCTATAATTTAATGCAAACGAAGGCTTATTAATAGGCTGCCATTGTTCAAACATTCAAGTTTGATTTTCTGTCAATCTCATGATCAAAATTGTTTTGTTTATCGACATCACAATAGGAGCCAACACTATTAGGTTGAAACTTAAAGACGTTTAATGTTATAATTCTTTAATTTAATTTTATATTTTTCTTAAAAATAAATTATTATTGTATAAATTGATCTTTAAAATATACATCTAAGATAATGGCTAGTGATGTGTTTTGGGGCTTTGGGGTTGGTTTGATGATAGAACTGTCACTTCCATCTGTCACTTAATAGTGCAGAAAACTTCTTTCTTCTCTCATTGTTAAACTTCAGAACCACAAGAGTCTTGTAGAAGATGAAACCAAAGCCCCAGGAAATTAAGGGACCTGCACAAGACTGTACGAATTGTGTAGCAGAAGTATAATTAAAAAGGAAGGACCTTGGTTCCCAAATTGTTATTTCTACCATTGCTCCATTTTTTTTTTTTTATGTGCAAATCTGTTCAGAAACGGGGTGAAGTTTCCACACGCTGTTGGCTGGTGAAATAACTCTCATGTCTAGTTTGTCAGTTTCTACTTCAGGACCAGTTGTAGACTTTTAGTCATTTTAGACCCGAAGTCTTGAATTTCAGTTCAAATGGATGGTCATCAGTTAATACCACTGATAATGACTAGAAGTGACAAAAGGAGAGGGAACATAAGTCCAACAGAGAATTTCATAATCCATATGGAAAAGAAATGCTTAGCCTACTCTGGATTTGATATCCAGATGGCTTTTAGTTCTGAGAAAGTCTTTAGCTTATTCCATGTTTCACAGATAAAAGTTGCACAGTATTATCATAAGCTAGGTATGATTTGTGTTTGCTTTGGACATTCATTTCTTTTCAATGGCTTGCACTTAAGACACATGTTTGGTTCACTCAAGATGCCATAACACTGATATCACCCTAAAATTGAAATTAAACTCATTTGATGCTATAAAAACAGAATGCTTGGGATGAGGTCCACTGAGTGAACAAAGAGCCCACATTTAGGTTGTGCTATCCAAATGCTGGGTAGCAAGCAGAACTTGGAATTGCTTCAGCTTGCTGCAAGGATGACAATTATTCCCAGGAAAACCTACATCTGACATGGTCAGAAGCACAAAACACAATTTTTTTTTTGTAGTGTGAACAATAACCAAACAACAAACCCAGGTTGGGATTGCAAACTTGACCTCTTCCTTTGTTGCTCATTCACTTGGCTTCCATGGCTCCTAATGATGGCAAAGTCTAAAGACCAATGTTGAATCTTATCCTCTTATTTCATTGTGATCCCAATTTTCATTCTTTTCAAGTCTAGACAGCTTGACGTTTTGGTTCTTTCACTTGAGGATTTCAATGTGGGGCCCACTGAGTTTCCCAAATGACATGATGAAAACGCCCACAAATCCTCAGAGTGGTCTCCCTCCAGAACAGATGTTGTAAGGTGATTTCAGTTTTAGACACCTAAAACAGAGCATTGATTTCCTTATGACTGTGGTTTGCGTTGGTCATTGTGGTTCACAGAATGCACTGGTGTATCAGTTGCTCAAATGAACGCACACAGAGTAAATTCATATTTTTCTCCTGGTGCCCTGCCCAGATCCCCTTCAATAGTAGACCCATCCTTCAGTGGCTGGGAGCATTAACAGGCTGATAGCACCATCATTCTCCAGAGGATTGCCATAGCCAATAGAACACCTTGCCAGAAGATTCCTGGGAAATTTCAAACCGCTGCCCACTAGCCCACTAACCTACCATGAATAGCTTGTGGCCTGATTGACCCATGAGGTAAACTGAGACCAAGATCTCTGTCCTCCTTGGGAAGGTCTATGATGCCATTCACATTCTCCATCTTCCTGTGGAATCAAGCTAAGACAGCTCAAGCTACATCTTTGCTTAGCTGCTTCTGCTTTCCTTAGGTCATCACAGGTTTCACCTCAGAGCCCTCCTGCCACCTGTCACATGCACAATCCTCTCATCAGAACTGGATCTCAAACAGCTAGCTTATTACCACCAACAGGTCTTTCCTCCTCCCCGGCTGCCTCCTCCTCCACCTTCTCCCTCACCTCTTCTCTCCTTCCTTCTCTTCCTCATTATTCTTCTTAGATTCTTATATAAATATGCAACTTATATATGTTGATTTGATCCTCTCATAAGCAAAACAAATTTTTCTAATTTTGGATGGGCAATTTTAGTCATGTTAAACTGATAACAGTAAAGTATATCAAGGGAAGTATAATTGTATTTTAAAATTAATGTATCTTACATGATTGCTTGACTTTTCCCTAATTACACAGATTTAAGGTATGAAAAACCAGAAATAAGGATGAAGACTTATTTCTTGATTTTTTTCATTCCACAAATATTTTTTCAGTGTCTGTTCTGAGCACAAAAGTAGATGCTAAATGTGTACTTGTAAACAAGATACACCGGGTCTCTACCCACTTGAGGCCTGCTATCCTCCTCACTTATAATTTTGACTTAGGAAGACACAGATCTAAGAAGAAAGGAAGTTGTAAATTTGAACTCTCTTATTGCAACTAAAGGTAAACTTTTACCACTTCTGTGAGAAGGGTATCAAAAATGTTACGGAGGAACTGCTCAGATTCACCTTCTTCTTTTTCCTTAAAAAAGGATACATGTCAAAGCCTGGTATGTCATAGAGGCTTTTCAGATATTTGTTAAATGAACGCACACAGAGTTACTTCATATTTTGTCTTTTTCATACCTCTTTCTTACGTAGCAGTAAAAAATAGCAAGAAAACCACTTATTAATAATCCAACACCAATCCCAATTGCAATGTATTTTTCATAAGAATCCACAGCATATGAAGTTAAGGTCAAGTGCTCACACCTTTCTCCAGTATAACCAGTATAACACCTTAAAAAAGAGAAAAAAAAAGTAACTTTAAAGCCTACAGAATGGCAGGGAGTGGTGGGGAGGAAAGGAAGTAATTTAAATAGGCAAACACCAAGTGAAATCAATGTGTTAAGGTATGAAGTAGCTTGAATTTCACAATAATCATCTCATTAAGACCCCATATTTTCCCCTCAATGGTAGACACAAAGTGTAGTATGCTTGTCAAGCAAACTGAGCACCAGGGAGTGATACTGCCAAATTATATTGTTTAATTGTGTGCATATATGAATATGTAACAACAAATCTCATCATCATGTACAACTGTAATGCATCAATAAAAAATGTGGAAAAAAAGAAGACCAAGCAAATCAATGATCATAAAAATTGTGAACTTCTTATGAAGATTTTTGCCTTGCCCTGTTTCATTTTATCCTACAAATAATCCTGTGAAAACTAGGATTCACCTTTGCATATCATTAAAATGCAGATTCTGATTTAGTAGTTCTGAGGTGAAGCATGAAATTCTACATTTTTTAAAAGTCCCAGCTTCTACAGATGCTGCTAATCTGGGAACCATATTTTTTAAATAATGAGGATTAAGCAGAAAAAATAAAAAATCTTTTTGGAAAGTCAAGTACAAAGAGGACTGGCAAGTCACATTCAGATCAAACACAGTTTTAACCAGATAAGGTAGAGAGTGGCACTGTACTGTGTAAAACAACAAAGGCATAAGTTCACCTTCTCCTGTCTCCAGGACTTGGGAGTTCTTTGCAATTACCTGCAGATGGCTTTCTCTAGCTCATGGTGGAATGCACACATCCCATTGATGCAGTAGCTATTATGATCTTCCAGGCAACGGTGAGAAAACCTCAAGGCTATGGGTCCTTCTGCATAGTCATCTAGAAAAAGGAGATATAATACTAACAAATGAAGTGTGTCCTACTTCATGACTTTCAACACATATGTAAGAGGACATTTAAGATTATTTTAGGAGTACTTTGCCTTTTGAGCTATTGATTCTTTGGCAGGTTGGTTATATTTACAAGTGTTTGGTTAGTATCATCCAGAAATGTAATTCATTTATTACAGTGAAAAAGTGTACCCATGATTGTTCCATTCTTTAGCTACCTAATCAGGTACAGAGGCAAGTGTGCCAAAAGGTGGCAGCATTGGTTCTAATCTTAGCAGGTTATTTTGAGTAATGTTTCCCATACCACTGCCTGCATCCTGATAAACGTAGAACATCTCATATAATCTTTATATTTTTCTCCTTTACACTGAGTAGTTGGCACTTAGGAAGGTCTGGATTTATGCTTGTGAAATAATAAACAATTTTATTCCTTCCCCAGAGGAAAAGATGGTAAATCTAATTTAAAATGAAATCTAATTTAAAATGGGACATTTTCTGTAATTGACTTGAGAAGAGGTATTTGTTATGACCCATACAGGAATCCAGAAACAACTTATGGTTCTGGCTGAAATAGTTATATGACAATTCCATCAAATATTAATTAAAATTTTAACTCAGTTAAGAGGTATTCTAAAGAAATGGTAAAAGCCATGAACCTGGGATTAGAAAAACTCAGGTTTTTATTTCTAGCTCTAACACGATGCAATTGAACATGACTAGACACAATTTTTGTAGTCAAGTGTCCAGAAACCTCCTTAGGGGAAATCCTCTTCAGGAAGATATGTTCTGGCAGCACACACATGGTTCAGGATGCCTCCCATCTTCTGATATGCTAAAGACATACATAGACCATCCTTACTAATTATGCAGTGGGGATGACTCTTGCATAAAACTGCAGAATTGATTTTTTTGGTATATTTTAGTTAACTATTTCTCAAGCAAAGTTTTTGGTATTTTAATTTATCATTGCTATGAATGAATGTGTCCCTCATGGTTAGTTATTATGGGCCAAATCACCATATTTGCCTTGTTAAGGAGGTTAAGAGAAACCTATTTCTTCATTTTAGGAAAAATAATCTAAAGGATATTTTTATTTTATATTGGAAAAAATTAAAACTTTAGGTACTCAAGGACCAACAGGATATTATATTATATCACTTACCTTTTTATCAAGAATGTCCAATATTACCTTAGAATTCACATTCATTTTGTTAAATGTGATGTAGTGAACACAATTTATAATTTTAATAATTAATTCTGAGGCAGTGAGAATTTCCCATTATAAGCTGTGCTAGGCTCTTCTTAATTCAAGATTACTCAAACTCAATTAACCAAGCCTAAAATGGGATATTTTGGAAAATGTGAGAATTGAAAGAAGCCATTTCCAAAGAAAAAGCTAAGACAGAGAGACTTATCCATCCCTTAAGGAGAATATTAAACTTAATTTAAAATTTTCTGAGATACTAGATTCATATTTTCAAAATAAATAAAAAGTGAAAAGAAAAACTAAAGTTTTTCATCAAGAAAACAAAGAAAAAATAGAGAGATGACATATTCCATCCCACTTTTCCATTCCTATTGCCTATAATTCAGTTAATTTATTTGCAATTAACCATTAAGGAAGGAAAAAATGTGGTGTTGGGAATATTGCTATGACATCAGTCACTGAGAGAAAACCACACTTCTTTATTTTTTCTACAGTATTATTGATCATATTCCAATAAAAATTTTCCCTCTTTGCTCAAAGGTTCAGAAGACAAAGAATTTGGCTAAAAGTTATTCTAAAACCCACTCTAATTTTGTTTTGCAAATTGATATTCAAAAAATCAAATAGATAAAATATTTTCAATTTTTAAATTAATTGTGGAATGAGGAACAGTTAAATACTACTATCTTTCCTTTAAAATTGAAATATTTGACTTTATCTTTTATTTGCTGGACTCTCAGAGTAAGATCCGATGTTTCCTCCGTCCTGGGTCACATCACCAGCATTCACCTCTGGGGGCCTTAAGTGATTTGCATGAGAATCAAAACCACTCAGTCTCAGGTCTTGACAGGCAACAAGTTTTCCAAGTTCACCTGTAGTTCAAACAGGTTTGAAAACAATGCTGACGCTCAACAGCAGCCAGAAGCCACTGCAATAATAATAATAAAATAGAAAAGAAAATACATCACCATCAATAAAAAAAAATCAGGTATAAGTGGGGAGGAAAAGTAGCACATGCTAAAAGAACAAAAGCCCCCAAAAAACAAGCAAGAAAAAAGATGGTTCCAAAGATGAAGGAAAATGCTTCATTTTGTCCATGATTTCTTTGACTGTTAAGCTTATAGTCATAGATCAAAATATGATGCCCCTTCAAGAATGCCAAAATGGAAATGAGCTGTCACCGAACACACATGGGTTATTGGAAGCCAAGCAGAAAATATGGTACACTTCACATTCAGGACAGTGGCTGAAGACAACTTTTCTTTCTCTCCTTTGTTTCACTTCCTCCTTTTAAAAGGGCAATTCTTGGCTCACACATTTATCTGTCACTTCAATTTAATAGCATCGTGCTAAAAGTGTTGATAACCCTATAAAACATATAGTTAAAAATTTCCAATGTTGTTTCTATCATAATCCAAGTTTTTCTCAAAGGTTTCAAAGAAGTCATTTGAAGTACAAAAATGGGAAGAAAATACCTTCAGTTTTGTTCGCGGTCCAGTTACTTTGCTGGACTGAGCTTGGGGGAGTCACAATCACGGCTGCCTCTTCTGTCAGTGCTGTCATTGCTGTTGGGAGTGGGGGGAAGCATCTTTAGCTGGTGTGCCTCTATCCAGGTGCAAGCAATAGACCCAGAGTTTTTTTTACTGTGTTTAATCCTATTTCCATTCTGCTTTTAATTTATTCCATTTTAAATCTAGAACCTGACTAGGGCATTTGCTTATCTGTTTTTCAGCCATTCCATCAACTACATTATAATTATGGAAAATAGAAACACATAAACTTTAAAGAAAAAGTGAATGCATTTATATATTAATTCAATCACAAGGATATAATACTGTGGTATTGTAACTAAATGTTATCAACGACTCTTCAATTCTATAGAGCAAACATTTTGGAGTTCTCAAAAAAAAAAAAAAAAGAAATCAAAACATACCAGGAGAGGAACATAAGTTTCATAAGAAACTACATTAACCCACAGATTTAATTATTCTGATCTTTATCATGAACAACTCTTACAAACCAACATCTCTTTAATTCAGGGAGAATAAATCCCATTTACATTTACATTACATTACACCTTGATACAAAGTTAATTAAACAAAAGGGAAATTACCTACCGTTGAACAAAAGGCAGACTGATATTGGAACTCCCAAAGCCATCTTCTGTAGTTGCTTTACTTTCTTTCTCTTATCCTCCCAACCTGACGGGTGGAAGGCTTTTATTGAGCTCTCTGAGTCTTTCTTGCATTATATATTTCATGAAGCGTCATCTGGCAGTTCTTACCAATCAGAAGAATATGTACTTCTGGCAGCAGCCCCAAGCCTTGGGGCGCTCACACACTTGTTTGGGATGCCTGTGTTATCTAGCGATGTGATCAAGTTTCCTTTTGAAACACTGGTTTCCTGTTACCTGTGGGCATACTCCTATATGTAAAAGTACTTAAAACAACAACCCAAAAGAACATGAGTTCAGAAAAATCCCCACTGGTGTGAACAGAACTGTGTACTAGTTAGGCTAGAAATTAAGGAAGGATTCCAACAAAGAGATCGGCAAATTAGGAGACAGCATAATTATTGTTAATAATAATAATAATAATAAAACCCTCAATAGTATAGTAGTTCCATTTCCTTTCATCACAGACTGTGAGTTCTATAGTAAACAAAATGTTCAGTTAATATGGATGCAAGGGAGAACAGAGAAATTACTGTCAAAATAGGTTTAACATTCCATTTCAGGGTATGGACCAGGGACAGAGCACCTGCTTAGCGTACCTGAGGCCCTGGCTTCAATTCCCAGACAGCCAAAAAAATAAATTCCATTTTAGTTACTTAGCTTTACTTATGACAAACTTTATAAATATATTTTAATGATACAACATTAACTTTTTTATGTCATTCTGCTATTTAATATTTTTCTGAGTAAATGGAATGGACTACCACATTGTAGGAACAAAAATGCTCAGGTCTGTACTCTGATAATCAGGCTAGAGAGAACTGATAAAGTATCAAATGGTACTAACAGTACTACTAATAATACAATTCTCCATTGAGGTAAAATTAAGATGACATTTAGTTTAGATACATCTAATGAATAGAAAGTCTTAAATGTAGCAAAGCCTTTTCAATCTTAATCAAGTTATAATTATTAAAATGCCACTCTAAAGGACATAATGTGTAATTATTGCTTATGATGATTATTATACTTTTGGACTTTAGGGACTTCCCCTAAGTTTTCACTTGCCCGAAATTATTATTAAAATATTTTTGCTGAAGTGCTGTGTCTTTCTACCTGGAATTTGAATTGCTCATGTTTTCTGAACTTTGAAAACCTGTTCAAGTCAAGATAGGTTATCATTTGTATCATGTCCACCCAGTGAGTTAGATTTATCAGAAAAGATCCCTTTCTGTATTCAAATATGAATTTGGCTTTAGAAATCACACAGGAATGAGCTTGCTGTACTCATTATAACTTGGGCAATCACTTACCACAAGAGTCATCGTTTTAAAGTTAAAAGAAAATGTAGCACTTGACTCACTTTAGATGTGCCCACATTTTGTATTTTTACCCTTAAGATTATTTTTAAAAACTGTTTATTAAGTCAATTTCTGAACATCATTTTCCCCAGGCAAGTAATATTTGAAATATAAATAAAAGATTCTTCTTGGCATTGTTGGTGAGAACTCAAGAAATCATTTACAAAGTATCAAATAAACCATCCCAAATCCATTTGTAGGTTCTGGAGGGGATGTTAGAACTCACATTAGATGTCTTTGTTTGCTATTTTCATTGTTGTTTTGTAGTGCATGCTAGGCAAGTGCTCTACCACAGGTCTACATCCCCAGCACAAATACCTTTATTTCTAACACTGAGATATAGAAATACAATAATCATCTTTGTAAGAACTAAATGGAACTAGAACAGTTCAATTTTATAGGTTTTCACACTTATCCCAATTCTGTGTGTGTGTGTGTGTGTGTGTGTGTGTGTTACTAGAGATTAAAACTAAGGGTGCTCTACCATTGAGCTACCTCCCTAACATTTGTAGGTTTTTGTTGTTGTTTTTGCTTTCTTTTAAATTTTGAGACAGGATCTTGTTAAGTTACCCAGCTGGCCTCAAGTTTATGATCCTCTTGCCTCAGCCTCCAGAGTTGCTGGGGTTATAGGTATACATCATTGCACCCGGCCCAAATAAATTTACTGCCAGATGTATACTAAAAACCCAATGAACATGTCTTGAATGGGTAAAGTAATAACAGGGCTTTTTTGATTATCAGATGACAAGTGAGGAATAGAGGCCAAAAAGAATTAAATAGAGGCTGAGGATATAGTTAGGTGATAGAGGACATGCTTAGCATTTATAAGGCCCTGGATTCAATCCTCAATCTCTCTCTCTCTCTCTCTCTCTCTCTCTCTCTCTCTCTCACACACACACACACACACACACACACACACACACACACACACACACACAGTGATTTAGTGATCTGCCAGACACTTGCTTCAGAGTCAGTACTTCATTTCCATTTTTCAGATTCTTAATCAGATGTCTTCTGATAGAAGCTGGTATACTGATCTCAACAGAAATCCCTTGATTATCTCCAAAAATCAAGCTTTAAATGAATTATCACGTAAGAAACTAAATATTAAACCATGATTTTCATTCATATCTGGGCTGAGAGAGATGGATGAATGTGTACTTCTGTAGATGTTTCCCCACTCTGGTAAATTAGGCTATATCATAATACAAACCTATCTACCATTCTGGGTTAAGGTTTATACAGAAAATGTCTCTAAGTCATTCCACCTGCTTCTTTTCCTTTGGGGCCCATACAAATGGTTCCCCCTTGCACTGTTCATAGAAAAATACATTACCTTCATCTCTTTGACCCTCTCACCCAAAAGTCCTTTCTCCCAATCTTGAAGAAAGTGGGACATGTGTTGTTGTAAAGTGGCTTTTCTGTCATCTTTATTTATTCCTAAGAAATAGTAAGACAAGTCAGAGTGAGAAAAGAGACAGAGGCTCCACTACTATTTTTCTCTCATCCCGTATTTTTTGTCTTTAATCTATTCCTCTCTCTCCTAAGTCCATCTAGAAATTTATTTTTCCCTTTCCTTTTCCTTTTATTCCTTTCTCCCTTCCCCCCACTTCTGTCCGTCTGTCTTTCTCGTGCACTCATGCTTTCTCCTCCCCCGCTTTCACTAAACTAACTCAACCAGCATTTGTAGCTGGTCATTGGCAAGACATATCCATTCATCTATTGCTTTTCTCTCTAAATTTATTCTGTAATTCTCATAGTCTTATTTGCTATTTATTCCTTCATTTGGAAATTACTCATTGTCTACTATATCTACGGCTTTGGATGTGATAAGGCACAAATAGATAATGCAGATATTCTGACCTCAGAGAACTAAAGAGAGCTAGGAAGAGTACCACGTGCCTAAAGCACTGGGTAGGAAATTATGAGCACCATCAACATGTGCATAAAGGCAGAGAGTCGAGAAGTCATGCTTACTCAGACTTTCATGGTGTTTTTCATGAACAAGTTTCATTGAAATGAATTTTTAATAAGTAGGATTTTTAAAAATGAGAATGGATTATAAGTGTAGAGGTCATTGAAGGGAGACAGAGTAAAATGTGAAGGGTGGGCTCTGACTCACATTATCCTAACAGACCTTATTTTAAATTCAGATTCTTTTTTATTATACATGTGCCTTAGGTGAGATGTTTTAATGATTAAGAGCATTTTCCTCATCTATCAAGTAAAAATTTTTAATAAGAAATAAACACACACACACACACACACACACACACACACACGCACGCACAGAGGGAGGTATTTGGCACATGACTGGTACCCAATTAAGGATAGTGGTTACTACTGAACAAGTGTAAAGAGCCTCAGCATTTACAGTGGTCACAAAGAGGGTGAGAGATTTTGTAGCTAATATGTGCTAATGAATCCTAAAATTTCCCCACTAGCCAGGAAAACCTGTCCTCTTCCCATACTGATATTACATCAGGACACTTATTTACATATTATGTCATTGCCTCAAACTCAACATGTTTCAAACTGAACATATTATCTCTTCTCCAAAACCACCTCCTCTTTATAACTTCCTTATATTAACTGATGATAACATCTTCCATCCTCTAATTATAATTCTCATCACTTAGTAAATATAATATACATTCTGATTTAGCATGGTTTCCTCTAGTCTAGTTTTTGCATATTAACCCAGCTGCATTTCCATCACCTTGCACCTCACACTTTTCATTTGTATCTGAGACCCTTACTTTCATAAGTGTATGCTAAGTTCCTTTTTACCTCCATGTGTTTGTATTATTGCTGAAATCCTATTTATTATTAAGGGTCTTCTTTCTAGATACTGATGGAGTAAGAAAAGAAAATGTATGTCTCCAAGCTCCTCTGCAGGACCAACATGTGTGTATATCTTACGGACTCTGTATATCCATAAATAAAGGTATGATGCCAATGAATTGGCTTTATCTCTTTTATGTGTTGACAAAGGCTCCTTCCTGCACGGATCTTCAGTCAGGATCCTCTGAGTCCTCTTCTTGCTGAGTTTGAGGCAATGACATATATGTAAAGGCTTGAATTTGGCCCACTGAACTCAATTTTTTTTTTTTGTATCGAGGATTGAACCCAGGGGTGCTCAACCACTGAACCACATCTCCAACCCTTTTTTACATTTTATTTAGAAACAGGGTCTCTCTGAGTTGCTTAGGGCTTTGCTAAATTGCTGAGGCTAGCTTTGAACTCCCAGTGCTCCTGCCTCAGCCTCCTGAGCTGCTGGGATTACAGGTGTGTGTCACTGTGCCTGGTTTATATTAAATCTTTATAAACAATCTACCCTACCTTTGGTAACTGATCAAATTCCCCATTCCCTACCCTTGATATAAAAAATGTTGTTCTGCTGTTTTCAAGAATACTGATAAGCTAGTTTCAGCAAGAATTCCCCTATCCTTGATCTCAAACCCAGTTCTTTCTAATTCTTTCTAATTCCTTGTCATCAAAACCACCAACCTCTTATCTCAGCACATTGGCTATAAATCCTCAGCTCTTTGCTATTTACAGAGTTAACTTCAATTTCCCTCCCCTGTAGTCTTTCTTTATAATATTTTAAATAGACTCTGGGAAGGCTGACTCCTGAATATAATTCCAAAATAACCTTCCTTGCACACATGTACTTTTGGTCATTTTAATTAGGGAGTTAGGCACCCTTTAAATTTAAAGAGGCCCTTTCTAAAATGTTTGCTTGCAAACTTTGGATTTAAATTCTTGTCAGAATTACTGGACAAAGTTGGTTTGGACAGATTGTAGAATATTTTATACTATTTTTTTCTTTCAAGTTTGCAAAACTTGCTACGTTTTTTAAGCATGCAGTAAACTGGGTAACAAAATATGGACAAAGAAACAGCTGTTCTTACAAAAAGAGAACATGGCTATCCTTCTTCAAATTACTTTTTATTATTTTGTTGAAATGGTATTAATTATAAACATCAAGTCTATTTTCACACAAATGATCAAGAGAATACACTGATAAAAACATGCATTGAATAAGAATCATTATTTTTACGTAAACATACTGGGATTTGGGCATGAAAACAGAACACTAATTACATTGTTCCAATAGCCTCAAAATAGCCTTTAACTAACATTCACATGTATTTCCTAATATAAATTATGTTAGGAACATTACATCTATTTTGAGAACAAAATGCCATAACAGAAGAAAGAAGAACTGTGAGTACAAAGCATAAAAATTTTACTTGCATCCTATAGTTTTGTTTTGGCACATTGAATTTACTATTTTTTACTTTTAGATTACTGAATGTGTTGACAGACATACCAGTTACTTTTCTTTAATGATCATTTTACTCATACAATATATTGTTTTTCTGATATTTGCAGGAAAATACAACCAAAGTTTTGTGGTTTTTCTATATTTTTGGATTTTCCCATCATTTTTCAGTGACTGTATGGTCTGAACACTTTTTACAGGAAGAAACAATGATATATAAACCTAACATATTCTTAATGTATATTTTATTATGACGAGTAGTTATTCACAGTGTGATATAAATTACTTTTACAAGTAGCATTGTATCTTTTGCCTTCCTTAAATATTTTTCTTAAAGAGGACATAATTTTTCAATAGGATGGCCTTGTAGGTTGCATTTGGGAAGATTTTGATTTTTAGTATTCCATCTTTCTTGTATCAAGTAAGCTCTTTTACAGCATATGACATAAAACACAGAATATAGTAAAAATTGAGCATGTCTGTGATAAAATTGCATGTGGGTATCCATTTGACTGACAAAATATTTGTTGAAAACATACTGTGTGCAATAGTTACTTGTGTCAAAAATATAACTATTTATTATGAACCCTTTGATGTTTTATTATGAACAAATATCCTTTGTTAATAATAAGCAATTATTACCAAAATTTCACTGGAATTATTTTGGTTTTTCCTAAAACTCAAAATCAGCAGGAAATGCACAAAGTTGCATGAATCATCTGATCCACAATGATTCCATCCATGAAAAAATAAATATAATGTAGTAATAAATAACTTTGTAGTAAAATATAAAGGTTTTTGCCCTTTGTCAAAGAAATACACAGCATGATCCTCAGTTGCTTGATTCTCCCTTGTCGTCTAGTGAATGATTTTTTTGGCTGCCAGAAGAGTATTCTTCAGAAGCATCGCCACTGTCATGGGTCCCACGCCTCCTGGAACTGGAGTGATAAAACTAGCTTTCTCCTTAACAGCTGGCAGAGGAAACAGGAAATATTCTTTATTTCTAAATTTACCTGAGAATTTCACATTTCTAAGCATGCTGTACACAGTGGATTTTTCTGCATTACACATACAAATTCTAACAAACTCTAATTATTTGTAGGATGACATGGGAATAACAAACACATGCACATTTAGACAAGCACTCCTGTGTATAATATTTAATATGGATAGAAAAACACAATGGGTCCAAGACTATTGGTTCCTCCTCCGTGCACCTCAGTTAGCTTTACATGATAAAATTCTATAAGCCATGGTTGACCTGATGACCTGTAATTCTAGTAAGCTACTTCTAAAAGTCATGATATTTTCTTTATCTGTTATTCGTTCATCCAATTGATGGACACCTAGTCTAATTCCATTACATGGCTACTGTGAACTGTGCTACTATAAATTTTGGAATGACTCTATTACTCTATTATGCTGAATTCAAATATACATAATGGAGGTCTAGTCAGCCATAAAGAAGAAGGAAATTATAGTATTTGCTGGTAAATGGATGGAACTGGGGCTGGGGATATAGCTCAGTTAGTAAAGTGCCTGCCTTGCATGCACAAGGCCCTGGAGAACATCATGCTGAGTGAAGTAAAGCCAAATTCAGAAAGTCAAGGGTCAATGTCTTCTCATATAAGAGGCATAAGGAATTAAAACAAACAAACAAATAAATATAATGTAGTAATAAATTTCACCTCCTGAAAACAGAAGGAAGAACGGTAGTGCAGAAGAAGGGACTGAAGGGGGCAGGAGGAGTGGGAAAGGGGAGAAAAAGCAGAATGAGGTTGACTAAATTATGCTATGTGTATATGCTGAAAATGTCACAATGAATCCCACTTTTATGTATAATTATAATGCTCCAATTTAAAAATGTGAATAAATAGAAGGAAGACCAGTAGAGCAAAGGAAGAGATCAGGAGAAGGAAGAGGGAAGGGAAGCGAGGAGTACTGGGGGGATGAAATGGAACAGATTATGTTATATATGTGTATAAATATGTCATAATGAACTCCACTATTACATATAACTAAATTTCACTTAAAAACAAAAAGACTTGATATTGATTACAAAGGGGAGAGAGGATATAGACAACTCAGTACATGCCATTTGTTAAATTGAATTATTCTTTTTATAGCATATCATGTATATGTCTAAAAAATACATTAAAGTCATGTCTGATAAAACTCATCAAATATATTTGAACTATTGAGCACATCCACATAGTCCTGTTTAAAGACATGAAGACTTTTTATTCAGTTAATATACTTCAAGGAAATGACAGGGAACATAGAGCAAAATTTAAGAATGTGTTCACACCCACAGTATTAAAGGTGAATGGTTCCATGCATTCATTGACTTGATGGTTAATTCAGTTTTTTACCATGTGAATAAGAGTAATGCAACCTTCCCAGATAACTCTTAAAACAAACACATGCCCATTTAGACAATACTTCTTTAGCATAGACAATACTTCTTTAATACATAATTTGATATTATTAACTTTGTATTGCTCATGTAAACTTCTACATGAATCAAAACCAAGAGATGTTTTTTAGATCTCATACTATTTTCAACTATTTATATTGTCTTATTGAAAGATGGTTTATAAAATTTACTTTTACCTTGTATGAAGTAAAATAGTACATTGGGATACTTTTTTAAAAATCATAAGAAGAGCAAAGGAATAATATTTTTTACTTGAAGAAAAGTCCATATAAGCTTAAATCAATATCTCTCTCTTTCTCTCTCATACACACACACATACACACACACACACACACACACACACACACACGCAGATAGTGTGTATTATGCATCTTCTAATGGTATGTGCTACAGTTTGGATATGCTTTGAATGTATTCCCTAAGTTTCATATACTGGAAGTATAGTACCTAATGTGACAGTATTAATAGGTGGTGGAGCCTTTAAAAGAAAGGTAGGGCCTAGTGGGAGATAATCAGGTCATTGCAGGGCACTGTTTTGAAAGGAATTAGTGTATTTCTCAGGTGACTCTGGTTAGTTGCTGTGCTACTGAATTGTTATAAAAGAACAAGACTAGCCCTCCCTGCTTTCTGATTTCCTATCTTACAGTGTTAATAGTCTTTCATGTGTTCTATTACAAGGCCCTCATTGGAGCCAAAAAGAAGCTGGTGCTCTTCACTTAGTCTCTAGGTATTTTGTTAAAGCAATGAAAAACAGACTAATACAGTATATTATAAAGAAAGCAACACTGTGACTTGGAAGGTAATATTTCAACTTTAACGAAACCTCTCTGTACATGAGTGAATCCTGTCCATGCCATATTTATATATGTCCTGTTGCCAAAACATTAGATGGTTCAATAGCCATTCCACAAATAGCTATAATTTTAAAACTTTCTTTCTTTTATCTAGGTGTTCCTTTTCAATATTTTTCCACCTTATCTAAATAGGAAATGCCTTACTATTCTCTAAAACTGAATTAAATGTCACCTGTCTATAAATTTTCTCAAAAAATGATATCCATTGAAATAAATAATTTCTAAATCAAAAAATAGAGTAAAATTAGTGGAAGATTAGTGAATCTATTATGGTCATATAATTGTTTTTATGTAGTTTGGTTTAACTCTGAAAGGTAAAGTGGCTTAAATATCATTTGTATATAGGAAAATAGTAACTATAGCTACTGTTTCTTGAGTAATTATTACTTTCCAAGAATTTTATTTATGTTTTTTTTTGTTTTGTTTTGTTTTGTTTTTGAGATGGGTCTCACAATGTTGCACAGGCTGGTCTCAAACTCCCGGGCTCAAGCAATTCTTCTCCCTCAGCCTTTTGACTAGCTGGGACTAAAGGTATTTGCCACCACCCTGGGCTTTATAAATATTAATTTAATAATTTAATATTATTTATTTTAATTGGTGAGAAAGTGTGGCTCACTGAAGTTACAATGCCTTGTCACTCTCCCATAAGAGAGAGACACTCTTCATGGTCAGATTCAAAAGACTGTATGACCCCATAATATCACCCTCTCCCAGTACAACTGTACTATCATGAAGTGAACTAGGAGAAAAGTCCCAAGAATGAGTCAAGTGCCAGAAATTAACTTAGTTTTTTCAAAGGATTTCTAGGATATCCTGAAAGAGAGAAATAGAGGGAGAGATGGGAAAAGGGAAAGAGAGAGAGAGAAAGTGGTTCTAATGTATTAATTTTCCTACTTTGAGTATTCATAGTCATCAACTTTGAATTACATCTTGCTCTCCAAATTACACAGCTGGTTTAGCAGTCTGAGTTGCTTTATTCCTTGGGTAAACCACTAGTCTTCTCAGGTATTAAAATCTTCTTCTTCGAAATTATGTTTTTCACAGCATGCTTACTATTGTATTCCTGCTGAAAAGTGGAGGAAGAAGGAATGGGAATAAGCTATTGCATGAATAAGACTTGCCTGAAGTTTTTAGCTTAGCTCCTGTATTTTTGTGTACTTGTCTGGTGGAAACCAACACAAATTCATTCTGTCCTGCCTATCACTCTTCACAGAATTAGGCCTATGTGGTAGGAGCCTTCATCTGACTTGGGCTAGGGCTTCTCTGGACATTAGCAAGCATTTAGAAGCATCAGTGGAACCCGGAAAATTCATTAGTAGGAAGAAGATTGTAATATCACTGTGAACATATCTGGTTATTCAAATATTTTATATTTGAAATAAAGTATATGAATATAAAGATAAAGCTTGTACACAGTCATGAAAGGTAGATGGTGATTAATTTGAATAAAAAGCATATTAGGTCTCTATTCCTTTTGATGTGATTTTCCTGAGTATCTATATATGAGGAAAATAATTACTTATATGCTGGTGGCTGTGGTGTTAATGTATTGTCTATTTACATAAATATCAACGTTTAGAAGAAAGTGATTTTTCAAGAAAGGTGAAGAAATATTAGCAAATGCCGATGGGTATAGATGCTAAAGTTTGAAAAGAATCTCAGCCAGGTATGATGGTGTTTGCCTGTTGTCCCCGCTAATTGGGAGGCTGAGGCAGAGGATTACTTGAGCCTAGGAATTCAAGGCCAGCTTAGACAACAGCAGGATCCTGTAATCTAAAAAAATTAAACATAAATTTCTCTAGTTTAATGATTTTGTATAACCATTTTGCATAACCATTTCAAACCTATCTTAAAATAATGTGTTTGTGAAGTACCATAATCTTATGAGCTAAGATTAGTCATGGGAGAAAAAGAAATTCATTGCATGATTGATATCCTGAGAAGTCTCTTACCCAATCGCGTCCAAAAGAGTAATTTAATAGGTTTTACATCACCAAAGCATCTTCTCATTGGTTGATTTTTCCTTAAAGGCAGACAGCGTCAGCTTATAAAGATGATTCTTTTAAAGATTAATCTTATTATTGTGTGTGTGCAGAAGAGAGAAGGTGTTCTATGTACTTCACTAAAGAAATACAGAAGTGTTAGACGGTAATAATATTCTTCAGAGACTTATTTACATAAAGATCAGCCTTTAGAAGTGGGTATTTACCTTGAAGGTATATGTGTGCATGTGTTAAGGAAAATACTAAAAGTTCTGTATTATGAGAATCAGAAAGTAGATCTTGATATTGGCAATTTCACGAGAGGCTAATGAACTCAGAGGGAAAAATCAGAGTGAAATTTAATTTCATAAAATCACCATCATTTTAGAGTTATCAGAACTGTTTGACAATGAAGGCAGATAAAACAATTATCAAATTCTATTTTGTGTGTAACTTATTCTTAGGGATGAGACTTAGGTGGAAATTACTTGGTAATGTTTAAATCAAGTTACTGAAAATAAGAATATTTTAATGAAAGGCAGTAATTATCATGAAAATCTATTTTAATGACCTTTCTGCAAACTTTAGACTTGCAAAATAATTTCCACAGATTTTTTTTGAAAGTTCCATGGCTTCACTAGCACTACCTAGAATGTTTAAGAGTGTGTGCTCTATATATCTTTGTCTAAAATGCCCTA